ATGCTTGTCTATTAGAAGACTAATGTGTGTCTGTTTAGGGAGACAACTTTGTCATACTTTCCTAAGTATTTTAAGGTTTAAATATATTTTTTTATTTATTTATGAAACATACTTTTTTTTTGCTTGTGTTTATAAAAAAAATTCTTAATTTTTCTAGATAAAAAATATTATATATTATCACATACAAAAGTATCACTATAAATATAATATAAATATATATATTTGACATATAATTACATATAATTTTAATATTGAAATTGAATGAGATTCAACGACATATGTTGTATGTCACTATAACCTATTTTATTAGACACTTTATATCTCTATATTTTATTTAATAAAAATATTTAAGAATTACTAACATTCATTGAATCAACTGGCATTTCGATTTGTTCTTAAGCTTTAAGGTTTAGAGTTTGGGGCCTGTATTTGATAAGGATAATTAATTTTAAATATTATTTTTTATTATTGTAATGACCTGCCATGACTACCTGATAGGCCCAAACGAACCCATCAGTCCCTGTGACACCCTTACTACCCCAACACATATACTATAACTTTACAAATAAATGTTTAAAAAAAAGTAAAAGGGTTCACATGAGAAACTTCAAAAATCGTTCTTCAATAGCCACAATAATAAAGATTTAGAAAATGAAACACAAGAGTTTACAAATTGTTTTCAAAATGATATTTACAATTCCAAATCCATATAAAAATTCTGTCCTAAAAGTCCTCTGCCCCGATGTCACAATATCAGAGCATACCCCTAATTTAACTGTTGGCATTCTAGATGCCACTCGCAGCCGGATCTTCCTCACCTAAAACATCCACAAAATTGTACGGTGAGAAAAGAAAACATCTATATGTAAAGTACATACAAACACACAACATATCATCTCATTATAACTCGATACTTAACAAAATATTCATAAACATTTCAATGTATCATAACTTTATCAATCGTGCATCATCATCACGTCACAATTCGCAATCACCACAATCATCACAAATCTTGCAATCAACCCTATGCCAAGGTCACGCCTATAGCATCTCTTGCCCAAGGTCGTGCCACCCCCGACATAAGTATTAATTACCTCACACATCTCATACCATGCCAGGGGTACGCTCGTCCTTGTAGCATCACTTACCCAAAGTTCGTATCATCCCTGGTCATTAGTGCGAGGAACCACAATCACATCACAATCACATCACAATCAATTCATCACAATCCACATAAATCTTACAATTAACACTATGCCAAGGCCACGCCACAACTGACATAAGTGATATCGGTTAATTGCCTCACTCATCCTACACCATGCTAGGGTCACGCCCTCCTTGTAGCATCACTTATCCAGGGGTCGTGCCATCCCTAGTCATTGATGTGAGGAACCACAATCACATCACAACCCACAAAATCTCTTGCAATTAACCTTATGCAAGGGCTGCCATATTTGACATAAGTGATACGTGTTAATCGTCTTCCTCATCCCACCCCATGCCAGGGTCATGCCCCCCCTGTAGAATAACTACCCAGAGGCCGTGCCATCCCTGGTCATTGATGTGAGGCACCACAATCATAATCATAATCATATCTATACAACATCTCATTTCATAGCTCAATTTCATATCACATACACGATTCCATATACACAATAGATAAGTCTAACAAAATAAGGGTTTACACACCCCTCAAGCAATTCACATCTAGATTATCAATTTTTAACAAGTAATATAACAATAACATTCATAAATTAATATAATAATCAACGGAATTACCAATTTAATATAATTTCAACATAATGGTAAAACCCCCAATTGTTCCAAAACCTAGCTCACAGGCACTTTTCTACAGTTTCGTTCTCCCTCTCAGATCATCATTCTTACAAATTAAATATATATTTCTAATCCTTAACACACACAGAATCTAATGGGATCATCAATTCCTCAAACAGAAATAATCCAATTTTTCCAAAACCTAACCTACAGGCACTTTTCTATAATTTCGTTCTCTCTCCCAGAGCATCATTTTTACAAATTAATCATATATTCATAGTCCTAAATACATACAGAATCACATAAGACTAATAATTCTCCAAACATAAATAATTATAAAATTATTCATAATCCTCTTCTACCCAATTCCCTCATGTAACTTTGCATACAAATAATCCCCTTTTCCCCCGTACCTGGATAAACAGCAGTTGAACTAAAACAGGGATCTCTTGGTCTCCTCCTCTAAGTGCCCCTTGGTCTTTAAAGAGAAGAAGATGAAAAGAAGAGAGAACAGAAGATAATAGGAAGAGAGAATGAGAGATGTGTGAAAATGACAGGTGAGGGGCGCTATTTATAGGATTTCAAGCTCACCTACCGGAACGGCCCGTTCCAAAAGTGGAATGGCCGTTCTGGACCCCTCGTAACTATGCAAAATTCTCAACTAGAATGACCCTTTCCAAAACCAGAACGGCCCGTTCTCAATCCCAGCAGAACGGCCTGTTCTCCCACCAGAACGGTCCGTTCTCCAAACCAGAACGGCCCATTCTGCTTCTCCAATTTTGGGCATTTTTCTCCTTCCGGAACGGCCCGTTTCACTTTTGAAACGGCCCATTTCGGGCAATCAATTGTGCCTCTGGCCCAGCGATTTTGGGCTGTTATAGCCCCTATTTGGATGAAGGACTATATTTAACAAGAATTGTTATTTTGATGGCCCAAGTTGTTATTTTGGCCCATTTTTTTGTTTTCTTTGGATTCAGAATCAAGTCCATCCTTAATGATAAATGGATAATAGAGAAACTTGGGCTACCCTAATATTTTCTGATGGAGGACCATCCATGAGAACACATGTGGGCCCCATCACTAGGTCCATGGCTAGGAGAGTGGAAGAGGAGGAGGGAGCTCACACACCAAGGGACACTCTCCTCATGATCATAGAGTATTAATTCTCTCCTAAGCTTTATTAGTATAGGGTTTATTTTATTTGCCAATTTTACCCTTATATTTTTGGGGTATCTTAGTCATAGAATTTATTTTCTTTTGTATTTCCCATTTTACCCCTTGTATTATGGGGTGCTCTAGATGATTAGGGTTTTAATTTTTGGGCTAGGGTTTTAAACTAGGAGGTGACACATTTTTTTTGGTGTTCTTGGACCTATGTTTGGTATTAGAAAGACTTAGGCCCAAGTAGAGGGTAAAGGTTGCATGGTCTTATCATGCACTTAGATGTAGCCTAACTAATCCCAAAGATTCCATCCTTGGCCACCAAGTTGCATCTAGGGTTCATTTGCATTTCATTTGGTGTGCATTTGGCTTGTGAATTTCGGCCATGCACTCTCCAAATGCAACCCTAGATGCCTCCCACTCCTATAGATACCCTAGGCACCACACCTTGTAAATACTTTGGAAATTGAATATAAAGAGAGCATTTTGCCTTTATATCATCCTTAGTCACCTTGGCTATTTTCGGGTCCCATATCTCTTGTCCCCTTTGGTGAGCCTAGATCATGGGCAAGGTGACCCTTTTCAACACACCATTATCAACCATGGAAGGGAGGTCTCCATCAAGTGGTATCTAGAGCCAAGGTTCATCAAGGGTAATATCTTGTCATTCCTGTCTTCTTGTTTTTTTTTTGTTTTTTTTTTCTATTCGGTCATTTCCTCTCCTTCTTGTCATTCTTGTGTGGCCGAATAGTTTTGGGTTCATATTTTGTTCCTTGTGAGTCTTCCTTGAATATTTTAGGTTTCCATTACTAGGTTTTTTCCATGCTTTTCCATTTTTAGGTTTGAGTCTCATATGAACATGCTTTTTGATTTTTGAATCTTTTAAGTTTTGTCAAGTCTTGTTTCCTATATTGTCTACAAAAATTCCATGTATGTATGTCAAACACATTGCATGAATAAATGAACCAAAAATACCATGTCGCATGATATAAAGTGGGCATGACATATAGATACCATCTAGGAGTCATTCATGCATGCTAAATAGTCCTAGCATGTTCTATGTATTTTTGAGTATCCATGTGTAAAATGATTCCTTGCACATGCATTTAAATTGCAGCCCACTTTTTCCTTGCATTTCCACTCGTTATGGTCTATATTTGATGCTTAAAAACCCTAAAAGAATCTAAGAGGTGTGCTGGAAAATTTGTGCAAAACAACTTGTACTAGATAGTACAAATCCAATTCCACTCAAAAGATACCCTAATTAAACACCTCTAAGAAACCGCCACTTTTCCTCCTCTCCTTCTCCTAAATTTGACCTAATTTTTCCCCACCCACAAGTGAAAAACCTAAGCAACAAATGGGTTGAACATTAAAGAAAAGAAATTGGACCCAAGGAATATAAATAAAAAAATTGACGTGAAAAGAAAAGGAAGAAAAGAAAGAACAACAAAAAAATTATGACCAAAAAGGACTTGTTGCTAGACTTGTGGACTTGGACCTTTACCTATGCTTTTGGGAGTTGGACTTAAGACCATTATTGAACCTATTTTGAGACTTTAAATGTGGCTAGACCGAATCATATAAAATACTTAATCAAGTGGACTAAACACTAATCCATTCTAGTGTCATTCTAAGATTACTCTTTTGTGTGCTTCCTTTTTATTTGTGTCTTAATTTTAGTTTGTCTTTTCTTTGGCCTCTTTTGTTTTGTCTCAATCAATTCTCTATGAGTTTAGCCTTTCCTAATTGTACATTTTCAGTTTTTATTTCTTGGACTCTTGCTCTTTGGGTTTCCAACGAGGCTTATGCCTCCCAGGTAGGTGAGTTGCAGGAGCTCGCCGCCTCCTCCCGAGGTCGTGTACGCTCTTTGGAGGATGAGGTGACATCTTCCCGTGGCCGAGTACGGGCTTTGGAGGATGTCGTGACTTCTCTGAAGGGAGAGTTGGTGGCGGCGGCTGAGAAGCGTCTCTGTGATGGGGTTCTTCTTGGTGGTTGTAACATCCCAAAAATTTTATTTTTATGTATTGGGATTATTAGAAGGTTTATCATATTTTTACGTATTTTACTATTCATATATACGTATTTTACTATTTATGTATACGTATTTTACTATTCATGTATACGTATTTCTAAATAGTATTTTTTTTCAATTATTAGAATTTGAATAGGAAATGGCTGCGGTGGAATGCAGAGGCTGCGGAATTCAATTGAATTCCAATTCTATTTATTTGAATATTTTAATAAAAAGTAACTTTTAATATATAATAATGAAATAATATTATTTTAATCTATGCATAGTAACTTCATAAATTCTATAAATAGGAGTTTAAGGTTTTTGGAAATTCATAATTTTAGAGAGAAGAAATTCTAGAGAAATAAAAAGAGAGAATAAGAGAGGAGGTTCTGCTCTAATTCCGGTCCCGATTTAAGAAAAAGAGGAGGAGGTTCTGCCCAAGTTCCTATTCATCCAGGTACGGGGGAAAAGGGGATTATTTATATGTAGAGTACATGAGGGAATTGGGTAGAGGAATAATTTCTTAAAATCACGTTTAATTTATCTGAATGGAAGGCCGAGCCTCCTATTAATTTATAATTTGGAATTTATCTGAATGGAAGGCTGAGCCTCCTATTATTTTGTAATTTAAATGTTCTTGATAAAAGACTAAAATTTACATCTTTGTTATATTTTTATGATTTGGAAAATATAAATGGATTCCTAACTAGGAGGCACTGCCACCTTTACTGGAGTTAATTTATATTTTCTTTATTATTATCTATATATATATGTATTCCTAGTTTTTCACTATATTGTAAGGGTAGTACTTATAAGACTTAATCTGGTATGTATGAGTTTGAATTATCACATTAATTCCATGTTCTATGTATGATTGAGGTTGGATTGAGGGGAAAAGGTTTTGGTTAGGGTTTTCATGATTTCTTCATGATTTCCATGGATTAATGGTTAAAACTTAAATTTATTGCTTAAAATGATGTTTTTTGATATTGTTTATGTTTTTTTTTAATGGTTCAAATTCGTGTAATTTGGATTGGATTCATGATTGGAAGGAATTTTCAAGGTTTTCATGGGTTGCTGGTTGCAGAATGCGCTGGGCGCGCTGAGTGCAAGTCTGGGCGCTGAGCGTGAATATTTTGATTTTGAGGTCTTAATGAAAGTTGTAGCCTTGGATTTTAGCTTTCCAATGGCGTTGGAATCACCCAAAAAGGAGGTCTAGAACTCCAGATATGGATGTTTTAGTGAAGAGGGGTCAAGCTGTCAGCTTTATCTATAGCTGTTGCGGTTTTTATCATTTTTCACAAAGTAGATGATGGAATTAGGACTTGATGTCTTCATGAGAGTTGTAGGAAATTTTCTTATCTTTCATATGAAATAAGGATGAGCATGGTAGGAGTAGTATAACCCCTGATACGCTGTTTATAGTTTATACTAATTATTCTATTGATTATTATATTAGTTATTGTTATGTTATTTGATGGATGATATTGATGTGAATTTGAATTATGAGTTGAGATATTGTATGATTATGATTGTGATGTCTCACATTGATGACTAGGATGGCACGACCCCTGGGTAAGTGGTGCTATAGGGAAGGCGTGACCCTAGTATGATGTGGGATGAGTAGGACAGTTAACACCACCACTTATGTCGCTTATGGCAGCCCTGGCATAGGGTTAATTGCAAGAGATTGTATTGATTGTAATGTGATTGTGTTTCCTCACACCAAAATGGCGAGGGACGGCACGGCCCCTGGGTAAGTGATGCTACAGGGAGGGCGTGACCCCTGGTCTGGTGTGGGTTGAGTGAGGCAATTAACCTGTATCACTTGTGTCAGATGTGGCGAGGCCTTGGCATAGTGTTAATTGTTGGATTGACATGAATGTTGTATGTGAATATGATGAGTAATTGATATATATATATATACACTATATAATGAGTTATGATGAAATTATACTGTGATATGATTGAATGTATTTTGCATATAGATAATTTTTCTTTTCTCACCGTATAAATTGTTGATATTTTAGGTGGAGAGGATCCAACTGCAAGTGGTATATAGAATGCCATCCGTTAATTTGGGAAATGCTCTGATAGTGTGACATCGGGGCAAGAGGATCTCTAGGATAGAATATTTGGTATTGTAATAAATGTTATTTTCTTTGAAAAATGTGTAAACTCTTGAATTTTATCTTTCAAGTTTTATTTTTCAGTCAGAACAGTTATGAAGTATTATGTGAACCCTTTTACCAACTTAAAAAGTTTATTTTCCTTAATTTTTTTATTTATTATATTTCGATATATGTATTGGGGTAGTAAGGGTGTCACAGTGGTAAAGAGGAGGAGGTCGCTTCTTTGAAAGTGGAGCTGGCGAAGCTGGAGGAAGCTAGGGCGGGGTTAGAGAGGAAGCTTGAGGATACCGAGAAGGCTGTTGTCTTTGAGCATAAGAGGGGCTTCCTCAAGGCCGCCTGCCAGGCTAGGCTCCTCGCACCAGGGTTTGACTTCTTCGCGATGCACGTGGAGAAGGTTGTCCGCTTTGGGAGGCTAGTAAAAGTAGGGATGGCAAAACGGGCCAGCCCGGCCCGTTTTGGCCCGGCCCGCCATTGGCCCGCCAAAAACGGGGCGGGCC